GGAGAGCCCTGTGGGCCCGGCCCATGTCACACGCCTGTCATAGCGTGGTAAGGCGCCGCACTGAGTGCGGCAGTAGCCGGACTGGCGGGGATGAACATCGCCAGCGTGGCTGAGGAAGGTACCAGGGGGCAGCCGCGTCAGGGGGCGATCTCCACCGCCGCGATCCGGGGACCCGAAATCCCGACAGGCCGCCCAGCCCGAGCGGGACCTCCGCGGGGGGGCGGCGGGGACAGACATCGCCGGCCATCCACGCGGAGGGGCCAACCAGGGGCACCTGGCGTCGGGAGAGGGACAGGGGGGGGCCGAAGCCCAGGCCCTAAATCCAGGGATGCAGCTAACGGCTGCTCAGGGTTCGGCAAAAGTCTGAGCGCCGGTCCAGCAAGGGCGATGGATGGGCAAGGCCCCCCCCAGGGAGGCGCTGCCCACTGTGGACCTGCTGTTCCCAGTATCGTCGGCCAGTCTGCATTGCAGGCCTCGCAACACCTGCCAGCGAGCCGAGGCTACCAGGGATGCAGCTAACGGCTGCTCAGAGATGACAGAAGTACAGGGGGGGGCCGTATCTGCTGCAGCGAGAGCGGGCAGCCTCCCGAAGGCCGTCACGCCTCTCCGTCCCAGAGTGCACGACTGCACCGTCACGGAGCTGTCTTTCTCCTGCCACGCGGCCGCACTGCCGCCGGGGTCTGACTGGCCCCACCAGGCGCCGGTGGCGCGACAAAACTGGGACCGGCACTGAACCTCACCCGTGCCTGCTTCCCGTCTGGCTGGGCCAGCTCCTCTCCCGAGCAGCAGTCAAGGGGACAGCGGGGGTCGTCTGCCATCTCGGGGCGTGGCTCAGGTGCGCAAGAGGGGGCGAGATGCGTCGGGCGCCGGGGGGGGGGGGGCGACGGGGCGCCCGAAAGTGGCAGCGGGTGGGCTGCGGGGTCCGCGCGTTGCCCACGCGCCTCTAACCAGCTGAGGCTGTCCAACTATGCTGCGCCGGGGGGGGGGGGGGCAGCCCCCGCCCCGGCGGTGGGCGACCCCGAAGTATTACGGCCGACGGGCCGGGCGCAGCGAGGCGAAACGGGCCCTGTCGGGCCAGCGCGAACTGCGGGCGGTGGCGGGGGGAACCCGAAGCCAACACCAAAGGTGGCGATGTGTCCTTGGACTGTAGGCTGCATATACCTGTTCACGCCGCAGGCTGTTGTCCGATGGCGGCCGACACTCACCCTTAGGCTGCGGCGTCGCTTGAGGCCCACCAGCGACCTCGCTTTTCGGAGTCGCGGTGGTCGTCACGCCGGGGGAATCGCTTGCCTCCCCCTTTCCATCCGGTGTCCGTCCATGGGGCGTCACGTTGCCCCCATGAGAACCAGCCCTGCCAGCCGCGCCATTGGCCGGAGGCGCCCGAGGGACTGCTGGCTGCCCAGGGGGCCTGTGCCACGGCTCGCCCGCCCCTGCGGGTCTCTGCTGTCCAGGGGGCTGGCGCGCCCCGACTGCCCGATGCCCCGGGGGCCTGTGCAAGGGCACCGAAACGCTCGGAGAACTTCATGCGTTTGCGGCGGATGGCGCCCCACTCTACTCCGAGCCTCTGTTCATGATCCATTCAGTACACGTCGTAGCCAGCTCGACTCCAGGCGCCCATGAAGTCCGAGCATGTCTCGGGTGCGTTGAGTAGGGGGTTGCTCTTGTTGCCTCCCATGGCGTCATGGTCCAGCGCCGCGCGTTTGGACCACGCGTGCCACATAGCGTTGAAGGCGCCCCCTAACGTCTTTTGCAGGCGCGCAATCTTGACCTGGATGACTTCCACTTTGTCAGGGTTCGCGACTGCCGGGAAACACTTGCACATGGGACCGCCACCCAAGGGGTCAAAGAGGCCTCCGCGCGCCCGGCGGTCGGCGCTGGTGCCCTCCCAGGGTCCCCTGCCCGGCTCCAGTCGCGCTGGGTTCCACCTGGGCAACTTCGCGGCGCGTCCTTTCCCGTCCCCAGTGTCTTCGGAGTCTGGGCGGTCGCGTCCTTGGTGCCAGGGAGATGGGTTGGGTTCGCGGGCTTCTCTGGCCCCGACTCGGTCCCAGGACGGTGCGCTGGTCGGCACGGCGTCGTCCGTGGCCCTCTGGACCTCCCTGGCTGCGCCCTTGTCGACGGTCTGCGCGTAGGGCGTCCACGGGGAGCGGATGGAGGGCGCCACTGGAAATATGCCGAGGGGGTCGTCGTCATCGGCCGCCGCGGCCGCAGGTTCGGGGCTCCCGCTCGGGCTTCTCTCCTTAGCCGCTGCGGCGGCGGTCCCTGAGTCTTCGCCCCAGTCTGGCGACACAGGGCTCCTGGGCTCCCGTGGCTCAGTCTCTGTCTTGCAGGCCTGCCCGGCGCTGTCCTACTCGACCGCCGCAGCTTGCGTCTGAGGTCCGATTTTTGTCCCCTCGTTGCCGGGTGCCTCATAAGCCAGCCTGGAGGTGTCGTCATGTTGTGCAGCCTGCCCTTGGATTGTCTCAGTTGGGGGGACAACGCCTGCCGCTTCGCTGCGCCTGTCCAGCCAGTAGGCTGCGGGGGAGTCCACTGGCGCTGCTGCACTGGTGGCGGTCTGGACAGGGCCCT